GATGTTGGGATGAGCAGAAAGCCAGGTAGGAAGGGGGATATCCATGGTCAGAAGCACAGGTATTCATGATGCAGCGAAACAGGAGGAAATACAGACTGCTACTAACTGCATCAGTCAGCTAGAAACAGTAACAGTGCGTAACAAACAACCGTATAACCCCAGGAACACACAATAAGGAGCGTTTACCTCGCTAACCTGCTTGTGGCCAGCAGGAAGGAGGCTGGCTGAACTAGGCTTTTTACTGAGGTTTGGGCACAGGGTGGTTGGACGTGTGTTCGTTCTGGGGCCAGGCTGAGGGGTAGCAGCTGCCCAGGAAAGGGGGCGGGGGGTTCTTCCCTTAGCTGCGGCAGAAACGCACAAGGCCCCCTGAGACCTAAGCTTGGAATGGACCCATGGTCACGTCCACCTCTCACTAATGACCAAAGTCAGTCACATGGCCAAACCCAAAGTGAAGGAGACCCTGGAGTGGGAAAAATGGCAGAGTCTCACAGCTAAGGGCGGGGGTACAGGGAAGAGCAATGGGGGCCAGTGACTCCTACCCCAATAACCAAACACCAGCTGAAGCTCAGAAAGGGGGCCCCACACCAGCCCTGCCCTCCGCACCGGCTTCCTCTCCTGCTCTTGCTATCAGCATGTGGTCAAAACCCGGAAGAGACCCCGAGCACTATACACTTGCAATCCTTGGGGACCCCATTCCCATCCTTTCAACATCTGGACCTGTTCCGGGAAGCCATTAATCTCGGGCAATTTCTTTCCTCACTTGATTTGTTTATTTAAGGAAAACAAGTTGCTCCTAATTAGAAGCACTGCTGTTGAGATGTTCAGTGTATCCTAGGCTGCCTATTTTCAGACCTTCTGCCTAAAATTATACCTGCGCTCTTAACATCTGTGAGTTTTTCAGCAACTGTCCTAAGCACAAGCTTTGGGCAAGAGAGACTCGAGGCACGGGGTGGGTGCCAAGGGAATCAAGGGGGTCCAGGGATGTCAGAGCAAAGGCACTTGAAAATATGCACATGCACAGGCAACGTCACAACAACCTGCTCGGAGCTGGCACAGGTCACTGAATGAACACTTGGGGTGCATAGCACAAGCACAGTCCCGACCTGGGGGGCAGAGTGAAGAAAGGATTTATCCTTTCTTAATGTTTCATTTATTTTGAAGAGCAAGAGCCCAAGTGGGGGAGGGACAGGCGCTGAGAGCAGAGAACCCGACATGGGGCGAGAACCCACAGACCATAAGACCATGACCTGAGCTGAAGTCAGACGCTCAACCGACTGAGCCACCCAAGCATCCCAAAGAGTAGTTTTAAAGGTTCAGAGCGGTTTTCTGCTGAGAAGCTCTTGGTAGTGCTTCTACCTGCCCCCCCAGGACTTTACACCCCTGTGGACACTCAGACACACCCGCAGACATGCACACGGTCAGAACACACACACACACACATACACACACACACACTACACGCACATAAATCCTACCACCCCCACAGATGGGCAAACACATCCCAGGCACACACACTCAGAACCTCACTCCTCCACAGGAGATGTGTGCAAAAGTTACACTGCAATCCCCGCAAACACGTGTTCAGAAACACCTGCACATGGAGACACACTCAAATGGACTCTGCAGCCAACACAACAGATACTGACACTCAGAAACACACATGTAACACGTGGAGATACAATCAAGTGTGCAATGCCACACACAGGCACACACACTCAGACACATGCATATCCACACAGGAAGGCACAGAAAGTTCACCCTGCCATACACGCAGGTACACACCCACAGAAACACACACGGACGCAGACACACTCACAGAGGTTACATCCCAACAGGTCCACACATGTACAAGAGACAAGCAAGTGTGTGATGCTGTATACGCACGTGCACACAGAGACACAATGCTGAAGAACATGCAGGCTCTAAGGACGTGCCACAAGTTCACACTCACATCTTTGCACACGCATGCAGGCGCTCACAAACACTCACACGGGCAGGCGCAGGCAGCACGTACAGCTGCAAAAGCATGACGCACCCAGGCAGCCCGCCCGGCCTCTCCTACCCAAGCATCGCCACCCGGACCCATCAGGTGCGTGTGTGACACCGAGCAGCGGGGCACCTGCTGGATCACAGACACGTGTTCAATTCACACACACCCGCTGCTGCGCACTCCCAAGCGTGTACACACTCCCACACCTGCTCTGACTCACACAGGCACACAGTCCCTTGCAGACACGTGCACATACACACACTCATAAATCCATGGACAAGCCATCTCACAAGTACACACCCAGACTGACATGTATGTGCACACACACATAAGGATAAGCAATCTCACAAGTACACACCCAGACTGACATGTATGTGCACACATACATAAGGATCAGCCATCTCATGAGTACGCACCCAGACTGACATGTGTGTGCACACACATGTAAGGTCTCAGCGGAAGTCAGCCTCATAGGAGCACATGTGCACAAGCCTGCATGAGAATGCATTTACACACGTGCTCACACATGCATCTACACACACACCCACGTCCTACTCCACCAAGAAAGCAAACCGCTCATTTTCTCAGAGTCCTGAAAGTCAAGCCCACAGACTGAGCGAACACCCCGCAGAACGGCTACTGTCTCAGTCCCTGCCGCATGCCCATGAACTCTCTCCAAGTCGGCCCAGATGAGGTCTGCCTTCTGCACCCACGGGCTCAGCACGGACCCAGGGGAGCCCTCGTTCGGGGAAGGACACAGGTGTCCCAAGCCTCGGAACCACTCAGAAAGAAAGAAGACTGACCAGTCTACTGCCTTTCCCCACAATCTCAGAAACCCTTCTCCCTTACCCCAGACACACACACACACACACACACACACACACACACACAGCACTTTCCCCCGGCGCAGCTGATCCTGTAGGGAACAGCAGCTTTGCCGGCTCCAAAAGCCTCAGCAGACAGGGTGCCTGACATCCAGACATACTGAATGGGTCCCTACACACAGCCGCAAAGTTGAAGCCACTGAGACAGCTTACCTCCACCTTCTGTTGTCATGGCGACGCAGCAGCTGGGTGCTCATCCCTCCCAGACCTCCCTGAGCTCCTCTCCAGGAGCTGCTGGCCCAGCAGAGCTTTGATGAGGAGGCAGCAAGGAGGTGGGGATTGCAGGTGTTAGCTGATTGGAGAGAACAAGGGCCCTGCCCCCCAGGCGCCATCACCTGGTGCTCAGGTGGGATGGGGGACAGCCTGGCGGGGGACAGCACCCCTTTGCTCACACACACACAAGACCCAAAACCAGACAGCCCTGCTGCTGCCTGCCTGTGTCCACGGATCCCTAGTCTTCACCAGACTCCACAGTAAGCACTTTCCACGCACCATCTCAGCCCCCCACCAACACTGTTCCCAGCAGGAGCAGTGAACCCCCTGCCTTACAGAGGCACCCCAGATTTGGAGGGTGAAGCGACTGGACAGACTCCAATGCATAGAGGTCCTGGGCCTCTTAAACACTGAACTTTACATGACACGATTTTGAAAATCTCATCCGTGACGACCGCTCAGGGCTGAAGAGCGTCTGAACTAGGACCTCTGAGGACACATAAAATCTCTTCATTTTGCAGAGGTGGCAACCAGAGCCCAGGGACGTCTAGCAATTTGCCCAAAGTCACACAGCAAACCTCCTGCAGTCTTGCAGCTCCGTCTTCTGACCCACGGATGAGGCTTCCCCGGGACAGTAAGCACCAGCCTCTGAGCTCAAGTCTCCGTGGCCCAGCTCCCAGCGGGGTCCCAAATCAGAACCCCTACCTCATACCTCAAGAAGGGCCCCGGAATCACACAGCAATGCTGTTCCCCAGAAGCAGATGCAGGACGAGCAAACTATTTCTAACCTTCAAGACACGGTCAGAAGCACTTCTGCTACCCGCCTTACCGACCAACCAGTCCATCGAGATGACCCGAGCCCTAGGCTGTAACCCCAGCTACACGATGCTGGATGCATCTAGAAGGCTGTGACCACAGGGGTGGCTCCAAGATGATCCTCCGAGACCAGGTGGCCTCTTGGGACCATGCTTTTCACTAGAAGGAAGAATCTGGCCAAACTCATGAGCTACGTGCTTTGCTGGGCAGAGCCTCAGGGGATCTAGATGGGGGGGGGGGGTGCTGCCTGCTTTCTCAGAGCCACAGATGAGGGAGTCAGGAGCCTCTACCCAGCTGACCCTCCCAGCCCCCTTTCCACACGAAGTGTGTCCCTCCCCAGGCTCTGAATGGTCTCACTGCGCGGCCCAGGTAACTCCCCGCAAATCTTTCGCTCAGCTAAGGAGCTGCAGTTAATGGAAGGTGATCCCCAACCTCTCCTCATGTGTCTGCCAAGGAGATGAGTTCCTTCCTGTGATGACACTGGGGGCCGTGGGTTTCTGACTGCGTGGGCTGCCCTGTCCCCAGGTCTCTCCCCACCTCCAGACAAGCACAGGGCAGGAATGGACCCAAGCAAGCCTGCAAAGCCCTCACAAAAAGCCCATCCCCTGGGCAGCCCTGGACGCTGGCTCCGGGTGCCAGCAAACCGCACGCACAGGTACCACCGCAGCAAGCACCTCGTAAAGCCAGACTGGAAATATGACCAGTTCCCTCCCCCTCGGAACTCCCAACTGGCCGAGAAAGGGGTAATCCGTGAATTAAATTAAAGGGGCCCACGACCTTCCCCCTGGCCCAGCTCAGCCTGAGAAGCCTCCAGTGCCTGCCTTCGGGGACCCAGCGGGGTGCCCGCAGGAAGGACGCCCGGATGAGCTGGAACGTCCCACCCTCTGCCAGAGGAGAGAAAGTTTGTCATTTACCCGTGCTGGGTTGTCACCACTCGGCTTGCCTCACACACCTGAGTCCGGGCGCCAAGCCCCCAGCCTGCGGGGACGCGGCCGGACCCGGAAGCCCGTTTTGGGGGCAGGAATCGGGTCGCAGCAGCTCGGCGCCCCGCTCCCGGCTGGAGCCCTCCTACCCGGTCCGGGCGCCCCCGCCCTTACCTGGGGTCTCGGCCGCTTGCAAACTCTGCCAGCGGAGCCCAGCGGGCGCCGGGGTCTCTCCCTCGCCCACTCGCGCGTCCCGCTCCGGGGGCGCCTTCCCAGCTGCCGGTTGCTGCAGTGGCATCAAGGAAAGCCGAGTCCGGATTTCCTCTTGCGCCGCCGCGCCCGCTCCGCCCGGGGCCCGCGGGGCTCGCTCTCCGCGGCCGGCGCGAGGGGCACCCCGCGCGCCGCGCCGCCAGCGGGAAAGTGGCAGAGCGTGCGTCCTGGATTGCAGCAGCGGCGACAGCGGCGGCCGGGGCCCGAGGAGGCGGTGGCGACGCCAGCCGGCGAGCCGGGGAGGCGGGCGGCGGCGCGCGAAGTGGCAGCCGGGCTCCCGCGAGCCTCCGGCGCCCGGGCGGGCGAGCGAGCGGGCGGGCGGCACTGCGGGCGCCCCGCGCCGCGACGAGGCCCCGCGCGGGCACCGGGCCCGGGGATGGCGAGCGCCGGGGCGCGCGGGGCGCGGGCGGCGGCTGGGCGCGGGGCTCCGGCCGCCTCGCCTCCCGCGCTCGCCGCCCGGACTTCCCGTCTCCGGCCCGAGCTCCCCGCGCCGCCGCCGCCGCCGCCGCCGCCGCCAGCAGCGCGCCTCGACCGGGCGCGCTCCTCGCGCGGAGCCACAGCACTGCCGCCGCTTAACTCCTTGCGCGCCGCCCGGCGCTCCGCCAGGCCTCCCGGCCTCGCCCTGCCTGCCTGTAAAATGGGCTCGCAGACCCGCGTCCGGGGTGGGTCGGAGAATTAACGGAGCCGATTAGGCGACGTGCCAGGCTGCGGGGAACTGAGCAAGCGCCAAGTACTCGGTAGAGGGTTTGCTGCTGCGTTCAGAGGGCTTCGCACATTACCTCACAAATAGCCAACACCCCGCAAAGGGCAGGTGGGTCTGTTGGCACTTAGTTTCTTGTTTTAACAGGAAGTGGGCTGAAGCTGTGTGACCTCTGGCTGATCACTTACCCTCTCTGAGCCTGTAGCAGAAGATTCCTTCTGAGCTCTGTGACCTGGGGTCTCAGCACCCCTCTGAGCCTCTGTATCCTCCTCTGTACAGTGGGAGTGATAGCGATACTGCCCCCCTTTGAAGGGTCTCCAGCAAATCTCCGGAAGGGAGCTGCTGAGAACCACCCAGTGAACGATGGCCTGCTAAATGCCAAACACCTGACCAATGTCGTTTCAAATACATCATCCCTTTAAGTCATGGAAACAACCCTAGCTGGTTCCAAATCCATTTTTTCAAATGAGAGATTTGGGTCCCCAAGGGCGAGGGTGGGGGTTAAGAAGTTCCCCCGAAAGCATCAGAGCTGGCCCCAGACCTTCCGACTCCCAAACCAGTATCTGTGAATTCTGGGACGAAGGGGAAGCCCTATCTGCATCCCTGTAATTAGAGCACACTGTTTTCCCAATTATAAAATTCATTCTTGCCTAATGTAGGTATTTCAGAAAATACCAAAACATGTGAAGGAAAGCAAATCAACTCAACTCTATTCCCACCATCCGGAGATAATGATTATTAAGACCTCGATCAAGTTCCTCCTGTCCTGTTACTATACCGCACGCTAAGGCTGTTGGCACAAGGGAATCATCCCACGGACACCATTTCGTATGAGGAGATGGGGAGCTCCTGACGAGTGCAACTCATGAATCCTTTGCTAAGGCTGTACCCCCACCCCCGCCCCGATTTCCCCAACCTCAACAACTCCAGATGCAGTTACTCTACTGCTCCAGTAGAAAGCCTTACAGGGGGGCGCCTGGGTGGCTCAGTTGGTTGAGCTCCTGACTCTCAGTTTCAGCTCAGGTCACGATCTCCCAATTCGTTGAGTTTGGGCCTCATGTTGGGCTCTGAGCCAATGGCATGGAGCCTGCTTGGGATTCTCTCTCTCTCTCTCTCTCTCTCTCTCTCCCTCTCTCCACCCCTCCCTACTCATTCTCTCTCTCTCTCACTCAATAAATAAATAATAAATTTTAAAAAAAGAAAAGAAAAGATAGCCTGCCCGGTTGGAGATGTGTGCATCTCACCCAGTTACCAGCGCACAAGCCCCTGCTCTGATGTCTTCCCATCTCTCACTACTCCTGCGCCTCCTCTTTGAAGGCCAAATTCATTCGCTTGCCTGGGGTACAGGGGCTGCTGATGCCACACACACCTCCTTGCCTGGCCAAGCCCGTCTGGAGCAAAGCACTCCCACAGGGCCAGCCGCAGAGGAACAGAGGCAGGACAGGGTCTTCCAAGGGCGGGCGACCAAGGTCCAAATGCGGGCTCTGTCCTGAGCGGCTCTCAACTCTCAGAGCCCCTGGTTCACGTCTGCAACACAGGGCCTTAGGGACGCAATCCCTGGAGTCGTCACAAGGATCACATGAGATAAAGACAAGCAAGCGCTCAATTAATAGCAACTGTTGCCTTTTATTAGCAAGGAGGAGTGATCTGAGTCACACTCCTACTGATGGCCAACAACTGTTGAGTCCTTCCTAAGTGACAGGCACACACACGTCCCACTAATTCTTAACAACCGCCTGAGGTGAGAGGTATTGAAATTAGTCCGTTTAGAGATGAAGAAGCTGAGGCCCGGGGAGATGAAAGCCTCTGCCCGAGGATACACGGCAAGCTCATGCGGAGCTGGGATCGGACCCCAGCTCTTCTGGCCCCGCCCACCCGGTGACCAGCACAATTCCAAAGGGCAGGCTCGGCACCTTTCCCACACCCTCCTCGTTCCGCCCCAGCTCAGATCCCCCTTGCTCTGCCTAGGGGACAAACCTCCTTCTAGGGGAGTTCTAGGGACTAACACCCGGCCAAGGAGCCCACTGCAAGGTGGGCGGGGGGGGGGGGCGGTCTGAGGAAAGTGCTGTTCCTCTCCAGCCATCCCCATCCAGTTCTATCACAGCCCGCTTCCCCCTACCCCTCTCTAAGTCCCCTCAGGAACAGGCCTCCATTTCCTGGAGGAGCAGAAAGAGCCCCGGGCTTGGAATCAAACAAGTGAAGTTCAAGTGCTAGGCAAGCGTCTTTGGGTTGGTCACTCACCCTTTAGAGTCGGCTTCAGCATCCATGAAGGGACGGACAGCGTCTTCCCTGACTACTCCCTATGTTTTGGGGGGAAATTACGGATTGGAAACCACTCTGAGAGTGGCACACTCTATAAGCCGTAACAGTGAAGGGAGAGTCCGTGCAGCCTTCATCATACAAGCACGTAAGAACAGAGCATTGAAGGGTTTTGTAGCAGTGAAAAGTCGGGGGGTGGGGTCTGGAGACAAGTTTGTTTTCCCCCATGTTGATGTCTAGTTGACCCAGGACCGTTTCTTGAAAAAAGTGCCCTTCCCCCACTGCCCTCTGGGGTCAACTTGGTCAGAAAGCATATGCCGCCATGTTGGGGGGGAGGGCTACTGATTCTCCTTTTTCCTCCCCCAACCTAATTCTTGGGTTGCCAGGTCCCCCTACAAACATCGTTTAGCCCCACTGCCGGCCTTTGAACCCAGGAGACTGGGATTAGTCATAAAAAGTAAGTAGTAAAGTCGTAGGATGTTTTCTCTAAAACACACACGTGGTCTATTTGGGCAGGAAGGGACAAGGTCCACTTCATCTAGACCCAACCGCTGGACAAACTCTAACTGTTGCTGAGGACTGGCTCTGCTCACTCCTTATCCTGGCCACCATTTGTGTTCCAGGTTGCTTCTCCCTCCACACATTCTATTTCAGCTCAGAATCTTACTTACTGCTTCTGGCCCAAGTCTGTTGCAGCATTCATGGAGGAAAGAAAAGAAACGAAGCCATCTTTGAAATAAATTATAAAGATCAAAACAGTGATGTAAGAGAGTTTCTGTGCATAAGACCAGGGAACACCTCTAAGCTACGTTTGTAAAACAAGTCGCCAACCAATACATCACTGTCCTTTGAACTGCGGCATCTAAAAATAGGATTTGCTCTAATTTCCCGAGTAGCTGGTGTAAGTGGAGAGAATGTTAGAGTAGTGAGCGGCTGTGTCTGGTGGTAAGCAAATCCCCTTTGATTGTAGTTTTCTCAAGTGGAGAGGAGGGGACTGGCCTCCAGAAATGTCAGGCAAATCCTAGCAGAGCTTTTAACATGAAGGATGCTGGAGTCAGCCAGAGCTGGGTGGCCTCGGGTAAATTAATTAACCTCCCTGGGCCTCATCTTCGTAAAGCTAGAGAATGGTAGTTCCCACTTATGAGGATTTTGTGCAGATTAAATGGTAGGCACGTATAGACTGCACTACAGTGCATGTATTGCTCATGTATTGTGCACATGAGCCATGACCTATTATTATCAGGATTCCAGATCAAGAAGACAAATGCAAGGCAAAGTATGGATGCCCTTCGTCCAGGGCTCTGGACCGAATTCCGGAATTCAAGCATGTGTCGCTTTCCCAGAATCCAGTTTTTTTTTCAGGCACTAAACAACTGACTCACACATTGCTGTTAATGTGTGGAAGACAGAATAAGGTTGAGAAAAGGGGCTTGCAAAGGTCACCGTGACTTTGTACTGGTGCAGCTACACAGAGGAGAAGGTCCCGTAATTTGTAAGGAGTTTGGGCAGGATGCCCAGGATGGGCTGATCGCTCCGTCTGCAATCCTGCATTTCTGCTATCTGCATGCATTCCCTCTCTGCTCCCTGGCCCCTCCCTTCAAAGCCCTCCCATGAGTGCCCCCCCCCCGCATCTTCCTGTCCCATCGGATGGTGGTTGGTGGGCACACAGACTCCCAGAGATCAAGAGCTGTGTCTTTCAGCCATTTCTGTGTCCCTGGCACTCAACACAGTGCTGGGCCCATAGTAGGCTGTCTTAGTCCGTGCGGGCTTCAGTAACAAAAATACGGAAGACTAGGTGGCTTGTGAACAGTAGACATTTATTTCTTACAGTTCGGGGGGCTGGGAAGTCCAAGATCAGGCATCGGCAGATTTGGCGTCTGGTGAGCGCCCACTTCCTGCTTCACAAACAGCCATTTTCTTGCTGCGTCCTCTTAGGGTAGAAGAGTCTGAGGGATTTCTCTGTGGTCTCTTTTGTAAGGACAAGAATCCCACTCGTAGGGCTCCACCCACTCACCTTCCAAAGGCCTTGCCACCCTGCACCATCACATTAGGAATTAGGTTTCACTGTACAAATTTTGGAGG